GTGTGGATTTTTAATAGAAGAGTGAGAGATATAAACGAAAACATATACAAACACACGCGCACACACATGAAATATCTTTTTACATTCTCCCTTTTAATTCGAGAGGAATTACCAATATTCATCAAGTTTTATTTTTATATAAATTATATGTTCACAATAGAAATCTGTTTGCTTTGTAAACTATGAATATGGTAATTAATTAAAATTTCATAAATTTAACAAATTATTGAAATGTCAATTTATCTAGGTTTCTATTCTGTAGGCCTACAGTTTTTAATTTGTTATAAGGTCATAGGTTTTGTGAATCATGATAGTTGTAGAAGATATTCACTTGAAATGAGTAATATGGCTTCAACATATAATGAAACATATCTCAGAACTGTAGTTATCAAATTTGCTTAAACAATAAAAAAACTAACTACGTATATTAAAAAGTATAATCTTAAGTACGTGAATCAAAAAGGGGAAAATTATAAAATAACAAAAAGGAATAATAAAAAGGAATTGAAATAAACCTAAACCCCTAATGAGTTCCATTCGTTTTATATACCATAAACAATTTATTCAAATATTAGTTTGAGTAAGTCTCTCAACCGAGGGCTGCTTAACATGCTTTGACTTGTCTCTAGATCTTTATAATATACTGAAAACTGATATAGTAAGCGACAGTTATATTTAAGTATTCAAACAAAGTGTTTATACATGTTGTCGGTTCACTGGCCAGCGAGCTCATGCGCGTTATTGGCTGTCACTGCAACACGGCAACCGTCTCGCGCGGTTCATTGCTTGACACTGGTTTATAAAAACGCTATTAATCTTTATGTTTTGACCTGTGTCTTAAGCTATAAGTCGCTTTAAACTGTATTTGGATTTTTTGTTTGTAATTGTGGTTATTTTAACAATCAGTGGTAAAGAATGCACCACAAAAATATAATTCGTTTAATTTATTATCTAGAATCAAGGTAGTAGGATTCCTAGGAACTATAGTAACGGACTATTAAAAAATATTGGAATTGATCGGAAGGAAATGTCACTCAGATTCTATGTCAAAGGTTGTAACGACCACTCTGTTATCCAACAAATTCCATCACGACTTTAATATATTGGAAGAAATATCTTGTCCCTTTAGATGTGTTTGAAAGGTTGTTACTGTTGGTTTTTCTTACTGTACATTACAATGAAAAAACATAAAAACCTCACATATTACATTTCTTCAATTGACCATGGATTTATTCTTCAAGGAAACATGAATTAACAATGACTATCCACATCATCCTTCGAATCAAAATATATTTTAAACAAAATTGGAGATAACAGTTTTTTTGCCAATTCTAAAAGATGTATGATATGAAGCATCGTGTATGGCTGAAGCAATCGTTTAAAAAAATAATGCTTGATTATAAAGACTAACATGATTAAAGCCTACATTTATATGATATCACCAAATCTCCCAGAAATGCAGCCCATGAGTATCAACATTTTAGTAAAATCCTAATGGAAGTGGTATTTGACATATTAATCCTATACTCTAATATGGGCAATGTTTGCTTGTATGTATGCTTGCTTGCTTGCTTGCAAAAAGATCTCGAAAACGGCTCCGACGATTTTCTTCAAATCTTGTGAATAGTTTATTTGTGGCCTTAAAACGAGTTTCATGCAGTTAGAACTGCCAACAAAAATATAATTACGTAGAAAAACGAAACTGAAAGTAACATTTTTTACATTAGTCTAATGGGTTGCTAAGTAACCATATTGGTTGAATTAAATAACATGGAAAAAGTAAACAAAAGACTTGAAGTTGTAGCATGTGTTCATAATAAGTCAACTACCCACAGTATACTAGCAAATTACAAATACAGTACAACAGGGAATGCATCACTTGTTACTATTGAGCAAAGATTATACTGAAGATTGCTCGATACATTGTAGGCCTAGTAAAGGCAATCAGTACGAAGTGTGGGTCTATCTGCAATCCTAAAATGCCATAGAAAGGGAGGGAAACAGGTCTGCGACGTAGGAAGTGGTGAAGGAAGTAGTAATGGCAAGCGGTCCGTAGGGTGGGAACTGCTTATGACGATAAGATTAGGGTATCTGCAATCCTAAAATGCTATGGGAAGGGAGGGAAATAGGTTCGCGACGTAGGAAGTGGTGAAGGAAGTAGTCAAGGCGAGTTGTCCGGAGTGTGGGAACTGTTTATGACGATTAGATTAAGGTATATGCAATCCTAAAATGCTATGGGGAGGGAAGAAAACAGGTCCGCGACGTAGGAAGTGGTGAAGGAAGTAGTCAAGGCGAGCTGGCCGGAGTGTGGGAACTGTTTATGACGATTAGATTGAGGTATTTCCAATCCTAAAATGCTATGGGAAGGAAGGAAAACAGGTTCGTGACGTAGGAAGTGGTGAAGGAAGTAGTCAAGGCACTCTTGTCCTCGGAATGCATTGATGATGTCAGTTATATTTAGCTATTGCAGGCGACTCAGTGTGCCTGTCTAGACCTACACCCTGAACTCGGGACCGTCTCCTTGAGGTAATTAGTTTCGTGGCTATGAAGCGATTTTTCGTTATGAAATAAATGTGTTTGTATTCGTTTTTATTCCTATTTATTGAAGTAATTAAATGTTTGTTTTTATGTTCGTGTACGTGTGCGTGTTAAATGTATTTATTTATCATGAATTTACGACCTTCAAATGAAGCGAGAAGACATCTGTACTGGCCCGACGATGACTCCTTTGTGAGTCGAAACCGGTTGCAATTTAGCAACAAATTGATCACATGAATGCATGTATTTACACCATTATTTAGTATTTAACTGTGATCAGGAGGCTAAAATTCAATTTAATGAAGTAGTATATTGACTGTTAATGTTTATTTTATTACACAAATTAAAATCTATTAATTCATCAACGAACTTATTAGTCGTTGTATACGTGATTGAGACTCGAAATGTAAGAATATTTTTCGTAAAATACCATAAGCGGTTGAGTTTCACTATTCCAACGAAAATGATGTACGTTTCATTGCGCTGATCGTGTTATAATCAATACGAAAAAACATTGATTTCCAGAAATTTATTTGACTTCTGGTCCCAGGCACTCTTGTCCTCGGAATGCATTGATGATGTCAGTTATATTTAGCACTTGCAGGTGACTCAGTGTGCCTGTCTAGACCTACACCCTGAACTCGGGACCGTCTCCTTGAGGTAATTAGTTTCGTGGCTATGAAGCGATTTTTCGTTAAGAAATGTGTTTGTATTCGTTTTTATTCATAATAATTGAAGTAATTTCTTACGACCTCCTTTAAGCAAATTCCGTACAAAATTGCTTGACAGACCGCATAAATGTGTCAAAACCATAAAGCTGGTCAAACTATCAAAGATGACTTAACTATCGATTACTACTACGAAGGAATCGAGATATTTAAACTCTTAGTTTATAACTTATATAATTGTTAACTATTTATAAAAGCAACACCTAAAAAGATTTAGCTTATGTTTATGTTTTCCTTATTATCTCTTCCGAAAATGGATTTGTTATGAAATGAAGTTAAGAAATTCATAGGTAGGGTTTCATAGGTTTTTTTTTAATTTACTTATTGTAGATGATCGTTTAAAACGAACCTTACAAATATGATTTGTTTATATCTGTGAATGTACTTGTAATTTAAATTAAAATAAAAACATCCAAATAGTAATAACTGTTAAACTAACAGAAATACATACATTTTTTAATCTTAACATTTCATGAAAATTTATAAAAACCTGAAAGATATTTTTACTTTAAGTAACCAATGGTTTATGAGTTTATATTTAAGAACAAAAATGACAACACAAGTCATCGTTAGATCATTCTTAAATCAGACCGCACTGCGTGCCCCAGTTCAGTATATTGTCTTAGGAATATTTATAACTGAGCCGTCCACCTCCCTCACAGTCGTAATGATCGGAAAACCTGGCAGGGGGGTTGTAAATATTCTTTTGTTGTAGTATATTCCTTTCTTTGAATGTTATGGAATACATTATTGTGTGGAGTGTTTGTGAGTATTAATGAAAAATTAAGAGATAAAAATGAGTAATCCATGTTAACAAGAAGAACATTGCCATGAATAACTAACTATTTGAATGAACACATATGAACATGAACACATATTAAATGAACTATTTTACTGACTAACATTTACAAATAAGAGCATGCCAACTAACAGTCAAACGCATCAGATGGAAGTTTTAGGTATGTAGCAAAATTCAGTGTTGATTTATATACGATATAATCTAGGGTTACATGTTTATCATTTGAAGTGGAAGAGAAACTATAATATTTGTCAACCTTTGATTAGTCTATATGAATTTTACTTAGCCTACCTAATAGTACTTTACAGAACAACAAAGTGTTATCAGTGCGTATAGTAAATACATGCCCTTAATTGTTTACAATAAAGTCATTATGTGTATTATCATTTTTAGTTAACGAAAGCTAAAACCGTTTCGTTTCCATAAGTTTCAGTATTTTATAGTTAAATCACTAAATATGCATGCTAAGTTACTATAAGGAGCTTGATTCAATTAAGTCATCTAGGAAAAACAAAATTTCCATCGACTTAGATTTTTAAAAAATCATTGTAAGTCACCAACATTATAACTAAAGGCAAGTACATATTACCTTAGGCAGAAATAATATTAGTAGCATTCTCCTGTAAGATAATGTGTTCTTTCTCATGCTATAAACACGTCCGATAGGTTTGCTACCCTACAAAAGTGTGCATTATTATATTAAAAACAATTTTGTTTAACTAACTTATCTTATTAACGTCCTGTTCTGTATGTATTTAGAACAAATAATAAATGTATTTATCAAGGTACAATTTTAACCAACTTTATTCAACACATATTAAAAACAAAGTGAACATGTAAACATTATAACCAGCTGATAATAGTTATAGAATAAATTTAAGTAAATAAGTAAAGATAGACATTTAGGATGTAACACCTCCCCTTCTTAGTGAGTTTCATAAGTTAAGTCTATCGACGGGTTTATGTGTCCGTTTTGATCGTCTCACTGTCATAGCGGAAGCTGGTGCCACTGGAACATCTGACATGTTGTTACTGGTCTCTGGTGCCACTGGAACATCTGACATGTTGTTACTGGTCTCTGGTGCCACTGGAACATCTGACATGTTGTTACTGGTCTCTGGATCATCTGGTATGTTGGGATCATTGGCCTCTGGATTAATGTTGTGATAATTTGTTGCGTGGTTTTCGGTTGGTTCCTCTCTGACTTCTCCAAAATTTGTTGGTATGAATACTTGATTTTGCTCATTCCTTAATGAAAATTCACACAAGTCCCTCCCTGAGCGTCTAATTTGGTCTTGATGTCGTCTGATTGGGCCACTGCTTGTGGTTATTTCATAATTTCTTGGTCCTTCTTTTTTGTTGATCTTTCCAAACCCCCATTTGTTGCAGGTTCCATAGAGGCGGTAGGCGACAGGGTCTTGAGCTTTAAAGGACTTTTGCCTGTCACGGTCTTGAGCTTTAAAGGACTTTTGCCTGTCACGGTCTTGAGCTTTAAAGGACTTTTGCCTGTCACGGTCTTGAGCTTTAAAGGACTTTTGCCTGTCACAGTCTGTGTCAAACTTCTGGTTCATTTTTTGTGACAAATCAGGATACAATAAGTCAAGTCTTGATCGAATTTGACGTCCAATAAAGAGATGTGAAGGAGATTGTCCTGTAGTACTATGTGGAGCTCTTCGATAGGCCATTAAATATCTCTGCAGTTTTATTTCGATAGAGCCTTCCTCAAAGTGCATGGCTCTGATGGTATCTTTCAAGTCTTGCACATAGCGTTCTACTTGACCATTAGTAGCAGGATGGTAAGGTGCTGATCTCTTGTGTCTAATTCCATTTGATTTAAGAAATTTTTCAAACTCTAATGAAACAAATTGCCTTCCGTTGTCTGACACTAATATGTCAGGGATTCCAAAGGAGCCGAAGAATTTACGCAAAGCCTCAATAGTTTTATGTGAATTTATGGTTGTAAGTGTTACAATTTCTGGCCATTTACTGTAGGCATCCACAATTAGGAGAAAATAATGGCCATAAAATGGTCCAGCAAAATCAACATGAATTCTTTGCATAGGCCTTGAAGGATATTCCCAATGGTGAACTGGTGCTTTGGGTGATTCATGCTGTACTCGTTGACATCCCAAACAGTTTAAGGTCATATTCTCAATGTCTGCATCAATTTTAGGTCACCAAACATACGAACGAGCTAGTCCCTTCATGCGAACTATACCCACATGAGCCTCATGAAGTTCTTTCAAAATTCTTGCACGAAGTTGTTTGGGAATCACGACACGATTCCCTTTTAATAAGCATCCAAGCTGAATTGACCATTCTTGTTCGTTAGAAGACATCGGGTGATGGATTGGCTCCCCTCTGATTAGTGATTGATAAATATCTCTAAGATCTGGATCAGATTGTGTATTTTTTGCTATTTCTTCAGCTGTGACAGGTAAAGTGTAGATTTGTTCTATTTCATGAACATCGGCTGAGTCAATAACAGCAGCTTCTTCAACATTTTTAGGTAGTCTTGAAAGTGCATCAGCATTAACATTGTCTTTGGTTGATTTATACTTTATGTCAAATGAAAATGCCTGAAGGAATATAGCATAATGTTGTAGTCTTGTTGCGGCCATAAGTGGTATTCCATTTTTCGGTCCAAATATAGATACCAGGGGTTTGTGGTCTGTAACTAGGGTGAAATGACGTCCATAAAGGTATTGGTAAAAGTGTTTAACTCCAAAATAAATTGCCAGGGCTTCTTTTTGTATTACACTGTACTGTTTTTGTGTTTGTGATAGTGTTTTGGAAGCAAATGCAACAGGTCTTTCGTTTCCATCCGGAAACACATGAGAAAGAATTGCCGAAATTCCAGATTGACTAGCATCTGTTGCTAGAATGAGTGGTAAGTGTGGGTCAAAATGGCATAGTATATTCTCTGACATCATTTCCTCCTTCACCAATTGAAAATCATGTTCACATTCTTCAGTCCAATTAAAAGGTACATTAGCTCTTGTGAGATTAATAATGGCTTGCATCTTTTCACTTAAGTTTGGAATAAACTTTCGATAGTAACTTATCAAACCAAGGATTTGTCTAACTTCTTTCACATTACTTGGTCTCTTCAGGTTTCTTATTGCTTCAGTAATATGTTTACTTTTACTTATTCCCTTTGACGAGACATGGTAACCAAGAAAGTCAATCTCTGGTACAAGGAATTGAGATTTAGAAACATTAATGTGTAAATCGTTGTCTTTGAACCGATTTAATACAGCACGGAGTCTTTTCAAATGTTCTTCATCACTGTGGGCTGTTATTTTGACATCGTCAAAGAAAACATCAACACCATCAATACCTTGTAGAATATTTTCCATTGCTGATTGCCAAATAGCACGTGCACTTGCAATTCCGAATGGTAGACGATTTACTCGATATAGACCTTTATGTGTATTGATTGTGAGTAATTCTCTGTATTCTTCTTTCACTGGCATGTGTAGGTAAGCTTCAGATATATCAATCTTTGTAAATTTAGTCGAATTACCCATTCTGGCCAAAATATCATCAATGCGGGGCATGTTGTGTTCTGGTATTACCAAATGGGGATTGAGGGTTACTTTGTAGTCTCCACACAGTCTGATATTCCCATTTGCCTTCATAATCGGTACAACTGGAGTAGCCCAAGAACTCTGATTCACCTTTGTAATTATACCTTCTTTTTCTAGTCTGTCGATTTCTGCACTAACTTTTGGTAACAAAGCATAAGGTAGTGGTCTAGCTTTTTTAAAAACTGGTGTAGTGTCAGGCTTTAAGTTAAGAATTGCTTCTCCCCCTTTGAAACGTCCAACTCTTGGTTCAAATATGGATTTAAATTCCATTAAAATATTGTGTACTTTGGGATTTGAGTGTTTAACTCTATCCAAGTCAGCTCCGTGAACGTTATGTATGTCTGACCAATTTATTTTAATGGATCTCAGCCATTCCCTACCAAATATCGTATCTCTATTACCATCGACTATATACAATGGAAGATATTTGGTTTGGTTACCGTAACCAACCTGAACAATGGTTTTACCCAATGGAACAAATTAATTTTTGTTGAAATCTCTTAAGATTATGTCTGGATTCATTAAAGGTCTGTGTTTAGGAAAAAACTTGGAAAAGTTACTTTTTGACATCAAAGATACTCCTGCTCCTGTATCTAGTTCAAACGGAATAGGTTTCCCATTTATTTTTATGTTTAACATAATTTTCCTAAATTTATCTTCTGAGGTATTCATAGAACAAATGTCAATAACATTAGTTTCCTTATAGAGGGATCCAACAGAATTGTTCATATTTTGTTGTAGAAATATTTCATTTTGATCTTCGAACGAGTCTGTTATTTGTTTTACATTTCTTGAAGTAGTGTTAAATGTAGTCTTATTTTGTCTTTGCAATTTGATAGGTGCATTAGGATTCCTAAAACAAATCTTTGCTAGATGCCCTATTTTTTTACAGAAGTTACATGTTGTATTTTTGTGTTTGCATTCAGATATGTATTCATGTAACTCTCCACAACGGTAACATTGTTTAATATTGGTACTGTTTTTAGGTTTTTGAAAACTTTTCTGTTGTACAACATTTAAGTTAACCGGCAATTCATTGTTTTCATGATTGAATTTTGATTGGATTGTTATTGAATCGTTTTGAGCCTTTTCAATTACTTGAGCCATGTCTACAGCTTTTTCAAAACTCAAATCACTGTCACTTAGAGTAATTAATCTTGTCTGTATTTTTTCATCCCTTAGTCCGAGTATGAATTGATTTCTCAGGGCTTTTGACAGAAATGTGCCGAAATTACAATATCTAGACAACTTTCTAAGATCCAATGGAAATTCAGAAATGTTTTCTCCTTCATATTGATGTCTACAATGAAATTTGAATGTCTCTGATACTTCATTTGGTTTCGGTGTAAAATGTGAATTAAGAGTTTGAACTAATTCAGCATAGGATTTAGTTATAGGTGATACAGGATGCAATATATCCCTAAGTTTACTGTAAGTGTCTGATCCAATACAGTGAAGTAACGTAATTTTCTTTTTATCTTCCGAAATGTTGTTATAAATGAATGATATCTCTAGTCTTTCCATATACATTTCCCATGTTTCATATCTTTCATTGAAGGGCCCAATCAATGCTGAGTTAATCATTTGAATGTTTTGAGAGGTATTTGAATTACTTGTACTCACCTCCATCGTCGCCAAATTGTTCTGTATGTATTTAGAACAAATAATAAATGTATTTATCAAGGTACAATTTTAACCAACTTTATTCAACACATATTAAAAACAAAGTGAACATGTAAACATTATAACCAGCTGATAATAGTTATAGAATAAATTTAAGTAAATAAGTAAAGATAGACATTTAGGATGTAACACGTCCCATTATTTCCCTCACTTTTTTCATTTAGTACGTTAACTTTGTTATTAGGCCATTATAATTGTTAAATTTTAAGCTGCATTTTCGTCTGTTTCTACACGATTGCAGTATAATAATGCATGTCAATAAAATAAGACTGTTGTGTTATTTAGTTACTTTCTTTCTTAATACTCAGATAATTTCCTTGCTAGTATTACCTACCTGTATTTATTGTTATAAACATATTTTAATACATTACTCACAGGTTTTATAAGTCCCTACGTGTTAAACAGAGAGAAAAAGTCGTGTAAAATAATTTGTTAAATTGTAGTTTAATTTTAAAACATGCCATACAGTTCTTTAGTGTGGCTACTATGTGGTAATTAAGGTTTACTGCATTAACACATTATACGGGAATAGCGCTAGGTGCAGTTTAAACTTGGAACATTTGACATTCTTGTTGTAAGACTGAGTAAAGTTCGAAGTTTAGAGATAGGGCTGAAACAACAGGGAAGGAAGTTTACAAGTTTATATGCTTTTGTGAAAGCGGATGTACGACTTGGCCTAAACTATGAAACTGTCATATATTTTAACACCAAGTATAAATAACGTATACTAGAAAATCTCAAATCTTCCGTTCTTGGCCCTGTGCTATTCCTGATCTTCATAAATGACCTCCCCTCATGTGTAGCTCAAGTTAAACTGTGCTTTTTTGCAGATGTTGCCTTCCTGATACTACCCAGCCCTTACCTAGAGTCACTCGAGCAAATGGCATTCCTCGAGGCAAATACCTTGCATCAGTGGTTTGATGATAACCTTCTGAAAACCAACACTGCAAAGACCCAGCTGATCAACTTTCGTTTATGATTTATCACCCATATGAGATAAGGCATGGATCAGAGACTAGCATCTCCCGTTCCTCATCAGTAACTGGCGAAAACCTCTTGTGCGAAGGAGTGGGGGATTGTGGGAGAGCCCCTCTCGCCAAATAAAGAAAACCTTTAAATTTATTTTATATTTTTTTTGTTAGAAAATTAACTTTTTAATTATAAAATAATTTTTAAATAGAAAATTATTTTAATTTAAATTTTTAACTATAAAATTAATTTTAAATTAAATTTGCATTGATAAAATTCAACTGTCACAACCTAACCTAACCAACCAAACCTGCTGATAATTTAAAAAATATAAGTTAAGATAAAAATCGAATGAAGGTTTACTTGTAATTTTTAATTTACTATATAAAAAAAAAATATTTTTTTATTGAAAAAATTCACTGTCATAACCTAACCTAACCGAACTAACCAAACTTGCTGATGATATAAAAAATATAAAATAAAAATCGAAT